AGGGAGAAAGATGCTGGGGAAACAATGGAAATCACCAGGATCATCTAATTTTCATTATTATTATGAATGGAGGCTACGAGGGAGCTAAACTTGGAAGAGAAAATGCCTCCATAACTAACAGCAACCTGATGCTCGTGTAGCAAAGGGATGGCCCAGCAACACAACCATTCAACTGGCTTTTTACGACGCACGTTATTTCAGCAATTAGTTGTTTTTTTTTTAATTCCTCCCCATCCTGGAATTGGGAAGGTTCAAAAACACCTGAGAGGGGATGCCGGGAAGCGAAACGAACCCACAGGCTTGGAAAATAATGATTTCACAGATGGTGCAACCCAGGTATTTCCAATCCAGCATCAACCATGGGTTTAAATCACCGTAGTTTCTCTCTTCTGCGATTTCCACAAGGTCATGGCCACGGGGGACTCTCAAAACACACACCAAAAAGGTCAAGGACAAAGTGTTTAATTGAAAAACAAAATTTCCTGGCAGAAATACAGACACAAAGCCTCCTTTGAACCTTTCCTTCTCCATTCTCCACCGGGCAGCAGGAGAGGGGCAGCATCAAGCCACCTCCACCCACCCCAAAGCATCAGCCAACGTTGCAGGATTGGGGTGAAAATTCAGTTCACAGAAGCATGAGCTTTTTGGATCAGAAATAAATATTTTCACTCAAGCTTCGTACCTTTAGTTCATCGAAATGGGCAATAACCAAGCGGTGCTGGGACCCCAAGTCCTGACCTGCTTCAGCCTTGTTTTTACAGCGTAACATTCCCTTTTGCAAAGAGCTTGAAACTCTTGAAACTCACATGGAAGAAGATGGTATAAAGTGCTCAAAAGCTGAGTTTTGCCTATTTTTTTTTTCCAAAAGCACCAAATATAAGCGGTCTCCTATATCGGTGCATCTCCATTTTTGATTTTTATTTTGTTTTCAAGAGTCTGACAAACTTGGTGTTTAATTGTTCATTCAGACACCAGGTGAGATGCTCAAACAGTTGTAGCAACACACCAACAATTCAGATGATGGACCCAGCAGTGAATACAGCCCTGAGTAAAAATCATGGAAGTTTAGAATAAATATCTGACCAAAAAAAAGAAGCATTAAGGACTCTTCAAGAAGAGGCCAGCAAGAACCTTGGCGATTTGTCTCCTTGAGAAATTGCCTGGAAAAAGGCTGGATTCCTTGGTGCCACAGGGGAAAGTGCTGGAGGTGCCTCCAGGGAAGAGCATCATGGTCCAAACTCTCAACATGGGGATGTCCCCGTGGGGAAGAGCAGCAGCAATGCCTCCCCTTATAGAGCAGGATGAGCTTGGATGAACCCACAGCTCCAACAAGGACATTTCCCCCATAGTCACATCTAATTTCCACCTCTCTGCAGCAGCTCTAAGGCAGGAAGGAGAATAATGTTCTTTTATAGGGGAAAAAAACAAGCTCTGCACATTCCCCTCAAAAAAAAAAAAAAGGAAAAAATGCAGCTTTTGCCAGTCCTCAAATTCCTTGCACGGCCACAACCAACCAGAAATGAGACGAGAAGGGAAAAAGTCTCCTCTTCCACCTGCATCCAAGTGGAGACTGCAGGAAGGAAGGAGCACACAGGGATTCCCACAGCCAAGCACAGCTTGGTTGATTTGATTAACGTTCAAATCATGCGGAATAAAATGTTTTGCCCATCCACCTGCTCGACGGCCACGCTGACTCATCCCGACCTTCGCTGCCTCTTGCCAACGAGGTCAATGATGTCATCATCTTCTCACCGCCGTCTTTTGGAGAGGAGAGAGCCAGGGATTGAAAAGCCTTGGCGGCACTAATTGCTGCTGGTTTCAGGATGGGAGGGATTCCCCCATCCCAGAAGATCCCTGCCGGACTTGTAGCAGGTCGTCGGCCTCCATGGTGGAATTTATCCATCAAGAACCCATGGTGAGACCAACCAACCCTTGAGAACTGGAAGTTTGGAGCAACGCACTGAAGAAAAGCAAGTTTGGGGAAGTCTAGCATCTCCCAAGGATGAAGAGGAGCACTGCAGAGTGCACTTGGTGGAAAACCTCAATCTCAAGTGCCTTTCAAATTCATTATATCAATTATCCCAGATGCCTCCATGCCAGCTCCATGTCGTTAGCCAAAATAATCCCATCACACCCCATTGTTTTTACCTGGGCACTGACTGTCAAGGGCTGGAAGAATATCTCACCCAGCTTCCCAGACCATCAGCCCCAGCCCACTGAGAAGACTCCTTTCAGGTTGACCTCACTAGAACTGCCATCCTGCAGCTCATCCCCTGTCCCATCCAAGGTGGCCGTGCTGAAGTCCCCCTCCATCCCTGTCACCTGTCCATCATGGTCATCCACACCTTCCCATTGCCGGCGCTCACCTCACCCCGTGAGAAACCACTTCAAGGACTCACCCTCCCACAAAAATTAAACCAAACCAACCAACCAAAAAGGAAAAAAAAAAAAAAAAAAAGAAATTAAAAAAAAGCCAGTTAAGCTTCCTGAACCAGTTCACGGCGGGGTCAAACACATGCCAGCACAGGCAGGATGCGGCCACAGCAGGATCCACTCGGATGGGTGTAAAAAAAGGTTGTTAAAATTCCAACCTACAGCCACAGTTTGAGATGCACGAAAGGTGGGAAGAAAGGTCTGACCAGTGTCCTCCTCCCCATTCCTCCTATTAACCAGATCCTGGAATCGAAGGAGACAGAAACGAAGCGTTTCCTTTCTCCTGCTGGGTTAGTTTTAACCTGACTTGGTTTGTTTTAACCTGCCTTGGTTTGTTTTAAGCTCAGCTCACCGGAGGGAGGGCACCAAAAAGCAGGACCACGTTCTTCTTCCCCCTGTGCCTACATCTGCAGGGCAGCATCTCAGGAACTAGAGAGGAAACGAAAATACTTGTATTTATTTGGCTCCCTGGCATAAAACCTGTCAAACAGCGCAGGGAGGAGACAGCTGTGACTGTCACTTGTTTTCCAGTGATGATGGCAAGGAGCTGTGAATGGCACAAATTTGAGTCCTGACTGTAACCACCAACTTCACACATCCTCAACGGAAACTAAACGGCCCAATTTCCTACAGGAGCAAGCACAGCTCCTGATTTCACAGCTCTGGCATCAGCCACGCACAGATAAAACACTAATCACCATAAGCTTTTATTTGCCACCTTTTATTTGTGGTAGGTACGGCACTGTTTTAAGTAATTCTATATTGGGACTCCTCTAATCCCAGACCTTATTTCCCAGCCTCTTCTAAACACACCAACGGAAACTAAACGGCCCAATTTCCTACAGGAGCAAGCACAGCTCCTGATTTCACAGCTCTGGCATCAGCCACGCACAGATAAAACACTAATCACCATAAGCTTTTATTTGCCACCTTTTATTTGTGGTAGGTACGGCACTGTTTTAAGTAATTCTATATTGGGACTCCTCTAATCCCAGACCTTATTTCCCAGCCTCTTTGTGACACACGGTCACAAAAGGTTTCCAGGATTTAAGAAAAAACAAAACCAAACCACCAAACCTTTAAGTAATTCTATATTGGGACTCCTCTAATCCCAGACCTTATTTCCCAGCCTCTTCTAAACACACGGTCACAAAAGGTTTCCAGGATTTAAGAACAACAAAACAAAACCACCAAACTCACTAATCACCATAAGCTTTTATTTGCCACCTTTTATTTGTGGTAGGTACGGCACTGTTTTAAGTAATTCTATATTGGGACTCCTCTAATCCCAGACCTTATTTCCCAGCCTCTTTGTGACACACGGTCACAAAAGGTTTCCAGGATTTAAGAAAAAACAAAACCAAACCACCAAACCGTATTTCACACTGACCACAAGACAAACAAAACGACTGTTCAAGAACACATTGCTTTTCAGGTTTTACTACTGAGTTTTCTTTGTGGATACCAATCAAGGAACCGGCCAAGGACCTCGCTGCAGGCACCAAGAAACACCCAAGATCTCCAGCAAACTCCTGATCCCCATTAATGACCCATTGACCCCATCTTCCCCAGCACCCCAGGGATGCCCAACCTTCAGCACCCCAGGGATGCCCAACCTTCAGCACCCCAGGTTACACCAACAAGGTTCTGAAGAACCCTCTTGTCTCAAAGTCAACCACGCTCACGGGGTGGAATTGCAGACAAGAGCCTGGAGGAACGTTTCGCAAGGTTTGATGATTGATGGCTCCTGGCTGCACACTGTGTGTGTACAATCATAGAATGGTTTGGGTGGGAAGGGACATTAAAGATCATCCAGTGCCACCCCCTGCCCTGGGCAGGGACACCTCCCACCACACCACGTTGCTCCAAGCCCCCTCCAACCTGCCCTTGAACCCCTCCAGGGATGGGGCAGCCACAGCTTCTCTGGCCAACCTGGGCCAGGCTCTCACCACCCTCACACCAAAGAGTTTCTTCCCCACATCTCAGCTCCATCTCCCCTCTTTCAGGGTCAAACCCTTCCCCTCCTCCTAGGGCTCCCCTCCCTCATCCAGAGTCCCTCCCCAGCTTTCCTGGAGCCCCTTGAGGGACTGGAAGGGGCTTCAAGGTCTCCCCAGAGCCTCCTCTTCTCCAGGTTCTCCCCAACTCTCTCAGCCCCCCCTCCCAGCAGAGGGGCTCCAGCATCTCCATGGCCACCTCTGGCCCCACTCCAGCAGGTCCACGTCGTTCCTGTGCCATTGCTGGTGGGAAGCACAATCATTTTGTCTGCGGGTTTCCATCTCCAGCCATGTCAGCACCTCCACGACATTTTATTACTTTCCTAATAAAGCCCGAGTAGAAATGAAGCTTTTGTAGCCCTAAGTGTGCGGTTTTATCCTCGCCATAACAACTTTACTACACTCTGTTTCCACAGCAACTGTTTCCTCAGCCGCCTGGTTCTTGGCCGTGGGGAACTCGAGGCTGCTTTGGTCCATCAAAATAAAAAAACCAAGCAGGAAAAAAAGAAAAATAAAAAGAAAACACAAAACCCAAGGAGGAGCAGCAGCAAGCCAAGCTGCCGGACCACACACCGGAGAGATGATTCGGAGAGAATCCATCGACGTTCACAGGTTGACCAAATCTTTGGGAAAGCCAGGAAAATAGATGGGAAGGTTCCTCATCGGCGGCGCCCAGAGAAGGAAACGAGCAGCACCGTGACCTTCCTCCTCCTCCTCCTCCCTCTCTGGCCGGCACAGGCAGGCGTGGAGGAGCAGGGAAGTGAAGCGAAAGCCACGTTAAACAAAAGCTTGGGCTGCAGCCAAAACTCATTATATTCTTTTTTTCCCTTGATGTGATGCACGACACAACGGGGAAAGCTTTAGAGCTGGCTCATGGATGCAGAGAGGAGCAGGTGGGAGTCCCGTCCTCCCCAAAAGGGAAGGCTCCTGCTTTTTTTGGCCTCATTCGAGGCTTTTTGGCCAAAAGAGCAGGAGAAAAAGAGGTCATTATGCTCATTAGGGTATCAGTGCGGAGAAAAGGCATCTCCAGCGCCCAGAGGCTGAGCCTGAGATACTCCAGCATCTCCCCAACGATGATCTCCAACCGTTTTCCTGACAGACACTTTTTCCTCCCTAAATCACAGAAAAAGTACTAAACCACCCACCTTACGAGGGCAGAAAGCGAGGGAGGGCTGCAAGGAAGGAGGAGGTGGAACCTGAATGCAGGAACTCAGATAGATAGATATATATAGATATATATATATATATCTGCATTTATATTATATGGACAATATGAAAACACATGCCTACAACAAGCATTTCCACACAAGCCAACGGCACAACCATCTGCTCTGCTCCCTTGGAAATTCAAACACTCCAGACAAAAGATGCTTATTAAGCTGCTTTATACCAGCTCGTGCCGGTTTCACGCTATTTCAAAGCGGAAATCTCATTATTTGTTTGATTTATTTATTCTCCAGTATTATTTTATTTTTTTTTTACGCCTAAATACAACTCAGCATTTTTGAATATTCCCTTAAAGCTGGTTCGACAGAGAACCTGAGCAAGCAGAAAGAAGCATCCACTTTTTGCCTCTTTTCGGTGTCACCTTGACACAAAATCCCCAACAGTCCCAAGAAAACTGGATTTTTACAGCCCTGATAAGGATATAACCCGGGTTCAAGGACCAGTTTCTCCATGGATTCCTGCTGTTTATCTCCACGCCTCGTGTCGCACGAAGCCATAGAATAACCTCAAGCCTCCACATTTTGGGCACAAAGCCATTTGCATCCCAAAAGGCACAGAAAGGACAGCAAAATTCAAGGAAAAGAGGAGTAGGATGCCTTGTTTGAGCTTGTGCGGATGACAATCTGCAAGAAACGGGTGAAATCTGGATATTTACAGAATATTTAATTCCCTTATTTCGCCTTGTCCCTAACTTTTGGCAAAAACTCTCCAGTTCCAGGGGCTTCGCATCCTCTTCGCCACCAGCCTGGATTAAACCTTCAAGGTGCTTTGCCGCCTCCCATCACGCTCCTGAAGGTCACTGGTGGTTTTTTTTGCTTATTAATCAAGTCCTTTGTAGCTCTCCTAAATCCACTCAGGAATTTGCATCAGCTTCAGATCCCCGTTCCTGCACCACGTTTGCAGCTTAAGGAGTGTGTCTGAAAGTTCACGTAGACACTACTTTTGCCTCCCCCCCACCATCGGCGTTTGAATTTCAAATTCCTTTCTTCCAGCTGAAAATACATTACCCTTGAAACGTTCCTGCTTTACACAAGACAATCTGAGGAGCAGGATGATTTGCATTCGCTGGATTTATGGAACTAAGGGCATCAGGGAAACAAATGTCGAGCCCTAGTTCATAAAAAAAAATATATAAATAAATTTTAAAAGAAAAAAAAATATGCTGGGAGTTGTCAAAGGAAAAAGAAACGAATCTGAATAAAGGAAAAGCTTTTAGAAGCTTCAAAAATAGGATGCGAAAGGGAATCAAGCACTTACACGGGAGGAAAAGCTTCAAAATGACCTTTAAATACGTTGCTCTTGTTCAACAAACACCTTCTTGAATTGAACCACAATTTACAAAGCTTAGGACGGCGCTGATGTAGGATTCCCAGTAATAACCACCCTGCCTTTCCTCCCAGAAGAGACACCAAGTGAAATTCCTGCAGGAATTGCCATAGCTTCAGGTTGGCTTTCCTCTGGATCTGACTCCCAGGGATGTCCTCTGAGGTTTAATAAAGCAGGAGCCCCACTCAAAACGTTTTCCCCAGTTAAATTTCACAACAAAACTCCCAAATCAGGTTCCCCGATGGCTGAGCTCACACTGAATCTTTGAGTAAAGTGGTAAAAAAAGTCTGCTCCTCTAAAAAGAAAGTCCCATCTCTTTTCCTGAAGCTTGTAGAGGCCTTGTAGGTACCAAGTACCATCACTCCGGCCAACATGGCCAACATCTAGGGAGAAGAAACACAACCTCACCAGCCTTCCCTCCCGGGGAAAAGCACGGGTTTTCTATTAAAAAAAAATAAAACCCCAAAACAGACTATTTAAATAACCTACAGAACAAGTAGTTACAGTGAAAAGTTTATCCAGTTGAAGGCTCAAGGAGATTTCCCCAACCGTCCAGATCTCCTGGCACTTCCAAAACTCATCCCTCCAGCTCCACATCACCTCGTGGAGCTCCCGCTCCTCCGGCACGAGCGCGTTATCGGCTGTTGATGAAAAGAGGCTTCGTGTCCGTTGTTATTTCCACGGAGGCCACTCAGAAGCTCCAGCAAGAAAAAAAAAAGGCAACCCAGACAGGACTACCAAGCGTTAGATGAAAGGAGCCGAGGTTTTAGCCGTTTGGGTTCAAAGGAGCAGTTAATCTTTTTTTTTTTTTTTTTATGGGGAGAAATGAAAAGAGAAAAATTATGTAAAACCCCTCCATCCATGACCACGGCGACGCAGAAGTCAGGCAAGATTAACGAGCACCGGGAAAATCAGATTTCATAAACTTTCTGCTGGTTTCTCCTAGGAAAGTTAACCCTCCGTTTACAAGATTCACGTTGGGCTCCCGACAGGGTTGATGAGATCACTGTGGTTTTGTATTAAGAAAAGAGGGAAAATATACAGCGTGGTCTTTTCAAAGATTTTGCCTCCGAGTGGAGCTTCTGCTGGGCTGTTCCACCAGGGGTCGGACAAGGTGGCAACAGTTTCTGCTGCAAAGGGCACAAAGAAATGGAGGAAAAACCTATGTACGTGTCCAGGTTGGAAGGGACCTTTCAGATCATCGAGTCCAACCATCAACCCAACACTGACAAACCCACCACTGACCCATGTCCCTCAGCACCACGTCTGCCCAACTTGTAAACACCTCCAGGGATAGTGACTCCACCACTGCCCTGAGCAGCCTCTTCCAACGCTTCACAACCCTTTCCGGGAAGGCCACTGCCCTGGGCAGCCTCTGCCAACACTTCCCAACGCTTTCCAGGAAGGAATTTTTCCCAATCTCCATCCTAAACCTCCCCTGGAGCAACTTGAGGCCGTTTCCTCTTGTCCCATCACCTGTTCCTTGGGAGAAGAGACCGACCCCCCCTGGCTACCCCCTCCTTTCAGGGAGTTGGAGAGAGCGAGAAGGTCTCCCCTCAGCCTCCTCTTCTCCAGGCTGAACACCCCCAGCTCCCTCAGCCTCTCCTCACACGTTCTCCAGACCCTTCTCCTTGGTCTCCAGTCCCATCACCAGCTCTGTTGCCCTTCTCTGGACACACTCCAGCCCCTCAATGTCTTTCTTGGCACGAGGGGAACAAAACTGGACATAGCCCTCGAGGTGGGGCCTCACCAGTGCTGAAGGTCTAAGTTAAGCTAGCTCTGCCTAAAGCATCTGCTTCTACCAGCCCTGGCCTAAGGAACAGCATGCCAAACATTCCAGGAGGTGTCCTGACTCTTCAAAAACATGTGTGGTGGGTGAGGGATGGGGAAGTCCTAGCCCTGTTGGAGATAACAGGATGTAATGGCTCAAACAGGACTAACATTGAGGACTTCTAGTCCTAATCATGCCCATATCATAGAATGGTTTGGGTTGGAAGAACCTTAAAGACCACCCAGTCCCACCCCCTGCCCTGGGCAGGGACACCTCCCACCAGCCCAGGTTGCTCCAAGCTCCCTCCAACCTGCCCTTGAACCCCTCCAGGGATGGGGCAGCCACAGCTTCTCTGGCCAACCTGGGCCAGGCTCTCACCACCCTCCCACCAAACAAGTTCTTCCTGAGATCTTTCCTAAATCTCCCCTCTTTCAGGGTCAAACCCTTCCCCCTCCTCCTAGGGCTCCCCTCCCTGATCCAGAGTCCCTCCCCAGCTTTCCTGGAGCCCCTTGAGGGACTGGAAGGGGCTCCAAGGTCTCCCTGGAGCCTTCTCTTTTCCAGGTTCTCCCCAACTCTCCCAGCCTGTCCTCACAGAAGAGGGGCTCCAGCCCTCCCAGCATCTTCACATATCACACCCCAAGCTTCTCTCCCTTCCATTTTATCAGTCCGATTCACTTTACATCCCCCCACAGCTCATCCTTTCCACCTTTCTCACATCTGATTGCCATTTTGACCCCACTGGCCCATTCCTGAACTTCTGAGTCCCAGACAGGACACAGTAGCCCATCATGAAGTGAAACCAAAGACAAAAGAATTGTTACACATCTCTTCCCAGCACCGAGCTGCTCCATCAGACAACTCCGGTTGCCCTTCCATCACCACCCAAATCCTCCCCACATGAGGTGGACTTTGTCTCTTCCTCTTTACAGAAGCCACAAGCTGCATTTTATAGAGAAGGAGAGGCAAAAAAAAAAAAATAAAAGTCACCCTTAAACCCTAAAAACCAGCAGGGAAATGGATCCCAAAGCTCCTCTCAACACTTTAACTGCTTTCATCGTAGGACAGCCTGACCCAGCGCCTCCTAAACCTCACTGCTCTCCAGCCAACCTGAATTTGGGACGTTTCTTCTCAACTCCTTCCTCTCCCTCATCAGCCAAACTGACCCGGGAGGAACGTGCCACCGCCCCCGTGTCACACCATGAAGTATTTCCTCCCACTCTCAACAGCAGCCCCCGCACGGGATTATTTCCCCAGCGGGATCAAAGGAGCGGCGCCGGGTGACAAGCAACGTCCGAGACGGCGGTTCCTCTTCTGGGATATCTATGGCTAAAAATA